AATGCAGGTGAATATGGTGGAGTAGTTTCATGGATTATTCCCAAAGACTGAGCAAAAGAGTTGAATCCAAAAGATTCATACTCCCGACCTCTATCACTTCTATATCTTTTAATATTTTTACTAAATTGATTTTCAACTTCAAGAAGGAATTCTTTAAATTTTTCAAAAGTATCACTTTTATTTTTCAAGAAGTATACATAAGTGTGTTTTAAAAAATCATCAATAAAAGTGATAAAATATCTATTCCACCACGTGTTAAAATTCCTTCAAATTCACATAAATCAGTGTGAATTAATTCTAACAATTCAATATTTCTCACCACACTTTTGTGAGGCCTTTTAGTTATTTTTGCTTGACTACAAACTTCACATTTCTCAAACTTATTTGTTAGTCTGGGAATTAATCCTAAACTACTCATGACTCCCACATATCGACTATTAATATGACATAGACGAGCATGCCAAAAATTCATAAAAGACAGCATATAAACAGAAGCATGTACTTTCTTACTCTCAACATTTAATTTAAACATTCCATCACAGGCATACCCTTTCCCCACAAATATGTCTTTTTTAGTGATTACATATTGGTCAGATTCAATAGTCTGCTTAAAATCAGCTTTGTTGAGCAAATAACTCGACATCAAATTTTTTCTCATGGACAGTGTGTACAACACATCTTTTAAACAAGCACATGTCCAGAGGTAAAATTCAGCTCAACATTCCCACACCCGAGCACCTTGGTTAAACTGGAGTCACCAAGCATAATAGTCATCTCCTCATTAAAAGGAGTGAAATCTTTGAACCAATCTTTATCATAACAGACATGCCTATTGGCACCAAAGTTTGCCCACCACCCTTCCACAGATTGAACCATAAAAATATCTGTAATCATCGCCACAAATGGTTCCTCGGTAACATTGGCCTGTGGTTGAGACTGTTGTTTCTGAAATTTGCAAGTTTGAGCAATATGCCCACTTTTGCCACACACAAAACATGTTACATTTGTCAAATCTTGTGAAGGGGGTTCTTGGTTCCATTTCTTTTACTCAGGTAATTTTTATTTTGTGGCCTTCCAGTATTTTTCTAGATTTTCTTAACTGGCTTCAAGTGACTATTTTTATGAAATCAACCTTTAGGTAAAGTATTTTCAGAAGTTAAATTTACCTTTGCAGTGGAATGCTCTTGTGTCATAAGTGCATCTTGTCCTCGTGCTTCCTCCTCCACCCGAATCTGTGTGATTAGAGTCTCTAAGGACGTCTCTTTTTGCTTGTGACGCATTGACTTCTAGAACTCCCTCCAAGATGATGGTAGTTTGTCAACAATATCTGCTACAACGAGATTGTCTCCAATTTTGATGCCTTCGGATCTAACTTCAGCCACTAGCATCTGAAAATCTTGAACTTGCTCCACCACTGATTTTCCATCTATCATCTGATAGCGGAAAAAATGGCTTGCAACATATTTTTTAGCACCTGCCTCTTCAGTGTCGTATTTATTCTGCAAGACTTTCCAAAATTTCTTGGCAGTGGTGTAAGTAGTATCATAATAATCATAAAATTGATCTGAAAGACAATTCAAAAGATAATATCGACATTTATACTCATCTGTGTTGTATTTCTCAATTTTTTCAAGATGAGCAGCATACTCCTCATCGGTCATCTCTTCAGAGGGGATTTTGTTCGGATTTTTCTCGATCAGGATATAGGCCACCTTAAGGAAACTGGGGTAGAAAAGCACCTCACCTTTCCATCTCTTGAAATGGGCTCCCGTGAACCGGAAGGACTTGTTGAGATCGCCGGTATTCTCGTTGGACTTCTCCAGTACTGGCTTCATGAATTTTTGCTATTTGAATCTCCTTAAAATTGTTGGTGATAATTACAAATAAAACACCAGAAAATACAAATAAAAAAAAATTACAATAACTATTGTAAGGGCTGAGGCGCGGGAAATTCGCTCTCTTTAAGTTGATGTTTTCTTCTTATTTTTAAATGAATTTTATTCAAATTAAATCGTTACGTTATTTGCACTTGTACGAGAGGAATGTACACTAGTACCTCAACTACTACTGTTCAACCAAAAGGATGGAACTAAAAGAATACTATGATGGGTCTTGGTCCTTTATTTTTGTGAAATTTTTTATTTATCATATCACTTTATTCTCCCTTCTTTTTTTCTTTTCTTTTTTTTTTTCTACCAACAAAATTTCTTTATCTAAAAAGAGATTACTTCTATAATATTTGATTTTTTTTTTTTTGTTTTATATATATACATGGTTTATATATCATATTGTACATATATGACTGTTTGTATATATGATGAAAAAAAATTATTTATCTTCGGCTCTTTCAGTGATAAAATCTTAGTTCCGTCCTTGAAACCCAGCCATCATCTCCATTACAGTCCATTAATCTGCCTACCAAATAAAATGCACAACATAAATACCTATCATAAATCGTTTATTGACTTCTGTTGAACTAGCACTAATAATGCTATTATTCTCTGTTCTGTTCTCTTAGAATTTTGCCCATGCAATTGAGCGCAAGCTAAAACAGAGTTGCAACACTTTGCTTTTCTAATATGAACGAAACCAATGCATTGAATTTGTATCACCGCCCCGTACTTGACTAATACTTATTTATAATTCACATTGTTGTTTTTTCAGCAAGAAGAACCGCCTACTTAGATATACAGAATTGGTTTCTGAATTGTATTGGACTAGACCGACACAGAGGGAGACAGAAAATATGAACAATAACGCAAATAGAAATGGAGTTGATCAAAGACGTGCTACCCGTTTGAATGAGAGAATCCTTTCATCATTGTCAAGGCAGTCAGTTGCTGATCATCCTTGCACGATCTTGAGATAGGTAACTCGTGTAAATTAATTAAATGGTTTTAATTTCATTGCTCAAAGCCAAAGCGGCACACACACGCATATATATATATATATATATACAAATCGGTGTATATAATGAAACTAACATACATTTTATATTATCTTTGTACATCTTGCATACAGGACCCGGCGCTCCTCAGATAGTCAACTGTGTAACCTCTCAATTTTCAGGCGATTAATAAATCAAATAAATCTCAAATTTATAATTCTAAATAACTAACAATCTCAAATATACAACTCATCTCTAAAATACAACTCGTCTCTAAAATAATTTCAACAAATATCTCCAAAACATAATTTATACAATTGCCTCCAAAAAATATTATATAATGGTGGGTCCTAAAATATCTAACTCAGTAAATTATTTAACTGCTTTTACTCCAATTGCCACTAAATTATTTTGCACCTAAAAAATAAATTAATTCGGAAAATATACAACACGACAAGAATAACAAGGGTCAGATAGAGAATAAAGCAACGGTGATCCAACAATTTATGATATTGCACAAACGATTTGATTCGCGATTATCAAACAATTTGATAATTTATCCAGGACAAGTACCGGTCCTACTCAGTTCATGACTAGTAACCGGCCTCACCCATCTCATACAAGCACAGCCGCTTATCCGAACATATTGGTGTAAGCTATTGGCAGGGTCTATTCGATCCATGTATGGAGTATTTCCATGTCATTTAGTCAGATAAATCAACATTGTTAACACAAAATAACTTCGCAAAATTTATCAAATGATTAGAGTATCAAGCGTATCAACATAGAATAACTTTATAGAATTTATCAAATGATCAACATAACAAACGAAATAGAAATTGAAGGTAATTAAAATAAAAACTCTTTACAAAGAAATTTAGAGAGAGCATATTGTATACTACCTGAATTATCTCAAAATAATTCTATGACCGCTGATACTAAATCCCTCTATCACCAACACTTTAATCATCCAATATTTCTTTATAAATCTCCAAAGATAGCCGATCAAAATTCTAAGGCATAAGGCATGTAAGGTTTGACAAAATCTATAACTCTTTTCTTATGTAAAAATGCTAACTCTCATTCTAAACACGCTTAATTTAAACTCTAAATTTTGATCTTAGAGAGAGACCAAGAAAAAGAATATAAAGAATTTTTAAGGATGAACTCAAATTTATAAGCAAAATAAAGAGTAGCCTCCAACTAAATTTGGAGATAAAGAAATGATAATTTACTTAGAGGTAAGGAAAACATGTTTGAAAAAAAAAAAAAAAAAAAAAAAAAAAAAAAAGATAGTTGCTTGGAGGGAAGGAAAAAAAAGCATGGCATGACACTCATGTGAATTTTATTTGGAGCTCAAGCAAAATAAATAGAATAAAAAACCTAAGAGATAAATAATATGATAAGGTAGAGATAAAAAGAGATAAATAAATTAAGTTCTTATCTAAAAATCTCACTATCAAATTATTTTAACGAATCACTAAAGTTCACAACTTTTATCTCTATGATGTCCTCTTCATATAACTTAAAGAATAATACTATATGTATCAATTGATGATGTGACATAATCTAAGAGATTTTTGATATTGGTAATATAATTAAGGGAAAATCGGTCTAGGGTCCCTCTCCCACTTTTCGTAATGGAAGAGGTCCACAAAATTATATTATGATGTCTAAGGTCCCTACAGAGAAATTTCATATCCCTCACCCTTCAAACCTCCATAAACCAATTCGATGATTTGTCTCTCCATTCTAGAGAGAGAATCTAGAGAGAGAAAATAAATAGAATAGAAAACCTAAGAGATAAATAATATGATAAGGTAGAGATAAAAGGAGATAAAAAAATTAAGTTCTTATCTAAAAATCTCACTATCAAATTATTTTAACGAATCACTAAAGTTCACAACTTTTATCTCTATGATATCCTCTTCATATAACTTAAAGAATAATACTATATGTACCAATTGATGATATGACATAATTTAAGAGATTTTTGGTATTAGTAATATAATTAATGAGTGAGATCAATAATAATGCCATAACTGGTGTTGGTATACTAGTTAGTACACTAATTGATACATATAGCACTACCGTAACTCAAAACATCAGTTAACTTGTTGAAGAGGAACCAGTACTTCCTAGTTGTTTCCTTCGTGCCAGGACCATTGGACTGATGCCTATGATTTATCAGGTGAGCTACTACTACTACCTTGTTTGGGAATAAGTTGTTTTAATAATTTGTTGATTTTTTACGAAAAGATATACAAAAAAATAGATAGAGTAATGTGACAACTTATAATAATTTTTTTGGCTTTTTAACTAAAACATGTAATTGCCAAACGATGCATAACTAATGCCCCCAAAGCTTATAGCTAACTTTTGTCATCTTCTCTCTTCACAATGACTTGATATGCTGATGATATGACAATTTTTTGGTTGTTATTCTTGTATAAAAAATAAATAAAATAAAATAAATTAGGGAGAAAAAGGATGATAAAATCCTCGCAGTATGTGCTGATGATCCAGAGTACCGCCACTACACAGACATCAAACAGCTTCCCCCTCATCGACTGGCTGAAATCCGTCGTTTTTTTGAAGATTGTATCCTTTGTCACTCTACAAGTTTTTCAGGAACCTTTTTTTTATTTGTTATAGATTATTAATTGTTATAACATCATCTTATGAGGAGGAGAGACGGACAGACAAGTTCCTTGACAATTAATTCAGACAAGAAGAACGAGAATAAAGAGGTCGCATTCAATGATTTTCTGCCTTCAGCTACTGCTCACGAAGCTATCCAGCACTCCATGTAAGTTTTATATTTGATATGTACGATCATATTAGCTAGTTAAGGAAAAAAAGTATCTTCATTAATATTTTATATTTTATTTTTTTAAACCTGAACGTGAATAAAATTTAGTAAATTAGTCAGTCAAGCAATCTCATATGCAATAACAGAGGGAAAGGGTTATCCTTAGCTTCCTTACTTTTCCTTGAACCCATTCCACTCACATTGTAAAATTTGAAATTAAGATACCTGAATGTATTGGAACAGAATTGCTCATGAATACAACAGAGCAGTAAGATGGAAAACCGGGATCGCTATAGATTTTCTGCCTTCAGCTACTGCTCACGAAGCTATCCAGCACTCCATGTAAGTTTTATATTTGATATGTACTATCATATTAGCTAGTTAAGGAAAAAAAATATCTTCATTAATATTTTATATTTTATTTTTTTAAACCTGAACGTGAATAAAATTTAGTAAATTAGTCAGTCAAGCAATCTCATATGCAATAACAGAGGGAAAGGGTTATCCTTAGCTTCCTTACTTTTCCTTGAACCCATTCCACTCACATTGTAAAATTTGAAATTAAGATACCTGAATGTATTGGAACAGAATTGCTCATGATTTTACAATAATAGAGCTCAATGCACATCCTCAAAATGGAGCAAAAGCTTCTGCTTCTTCTTTTGATCAAGGATGGAGGTTCTAGTGGCTCAGATTATAGTGTTTCAACTTTTGACATTATTTTTTTTATTTGATTGATTTGATGCAGGGACCTTTATGCTGAGTACATTTTACAGACCCTAAGGAGATGAGTGTATGATGGGAAATTTCTCCTTAATGAGTTGTTATATATATTAGTCATATACTTGAAGCCCCCATTTGATTGTCCAGATTAGATATAAGGGTTTGAGGAAGATAAGTAACACCTAAATATAAAGATGGGAGTTGTTATATATATTAGTCATATACTTGAAGCCCCCGTTTGATTGTTCAGATTGGATATAAGGGTTTGAGGAGGATAAGTAACGCATAAATATAAAGATGGGATTGATTGTCCAGATTGGATATAAGGGTTTGAGGAGGATAGGAAATATCTAAAGATAAAGATGGAATATAATATATTGTAGGATATGAGATGCATTATATATATTGTGAGGTTACTTATATTATGTTTGGTTAAAATAGGATATAGGATGAGATAAGAAAAGAGTAATTATTTTTTACCTTTAGATGAAAGATTGCCTATATCCGACGGTGGGAGATATACAATACCATGGGGGGTTGGTATTACATATCCTATTGTGGGGATATACTATTCGGACTCCCTATATCCAAACTATTCGAACTCCGAATATCCAGAGCAACTAAACACAGGATATAAGGAGACAAGAAAACATATGAGACCCACCTCATATTATATCTAATGCCCCCTCATATACGCCCCTTACATACCCCTAACAAACAAGGCCGAAGGGAAAAGGGAAGATTGCAGACCTCACATATTATTTTTGTCACACCCCAAACCCACCCTTAAAAGTTCGGGCATGACCTATGCAGACCTGAGCATTAAACCTGATATACACAATATAGGGGGCCTGAACGGAAGCATAAAAAAAAAACGTAACAAAAACAAACTCCATTGAGCCATGACTATCATGCCAGGATCACAGACATCATCACAGATAACTACTATACCAAAACATGCATCCGAGCATCGGTTACATACATATATATGTATACAGATCCAGCCCTCGGATTGGGCGTATGACAAAAATATTATTTACAATCCAACTATAATCGACAACGAAAATACGAACCCAAAAGCCCAACAAAACTTCTTTAGATGCACGGGCGTCTCCAAGTGCCTGGTTATACTTAGATTGACAAAAAGGAGACGGGTATCGGGGTTAGGACTGACCACCCGGTTAAGCATCTACAGAAACAGACAAAATACAGAGTGAGCTATGCTCAGTGAATAATAGTATACTCAAAGTAAGCTACATAATATGTACTTCAAAGTTCATACGGCTAAGCCAAGGTTGTGTCACCTTCAGAACGGCCCTAGGCCCAGACATAACAGAACGGCCATTGGCCTAGAAATAGCAGAAATGTACACAAACTTCCTTCTCGTTTACGTTCACATTACTTTGTAATCAACATACACGGAATGTAGTGATTCACGGAAAGCAAAATGGTAATAGCGATAAGCATTAATCGGCAAATGAATGTGTAACCATTGCACTATTACTCACAATGTTGTGGCGGGACGCGACTTCCTCCCGGAGTGTGTCCTACACACATAGAACTCACAATTTAGTTCAAACTCTTCTTAAATTCACATTCCAATCGTTAATTTTCAGTACATTAAGAAGTACTTTACACAATTCAAATATTAATTTCAACCATCCCAGAGGGTCAAACAGGTCATATGGAGCATTCCATGTTTTTCATCTTGGGCCGCACGTGCGGCAAATGCTCCCGCACGTGCCGCAGTGAAGCCCCGCATGTGCGGTTTAGACAGTGTTCAAGCCCAGAATTTGCCCCAATTGCCGCACGTGCGGCAGTGACTCCCGCACGTGCGGCGATTCTGCCCAAAACCTGTCCGAAATTCATTCAAAATTCAACTCTTTGGTGGCATCAACAAGGCCCAAAATAGATCTTTAAATTCCTAAAACATGGTCTAAACATCATGTAATTTAGGAGACACAACATGTGGACACATGATTCCATAGTCAAACATAAATCTTGTACAAAGTATTTCAAGCGTCTATTCATTCTTGCCCCTTGCATTTCATGAGCATAACATAAACATGAAGAATTTTATACAATAAGATCATCCAAGTCCATAATTGAGCATGATCATGCATAGATAAGGGATAGGATGAAATGAGACACTAAATCACCCAACATCAACCTATTTTCTCAATTTATTCTATACACATCTCATATCAAAGAAAATTCTACTCATACACCACAAATTCCCATCCAAGACAAGAGAGGAGGTAATTAAGGCATAATCTACACAAAAATTTTACATACCTTGAGTTTAAGTCTCCCAAATTCTCAACCTCCTTGGATAATCTTCTTCACCTTACCTCTCAAACCCCTCTCTAACCCAATCTTCTCTCTCAAGAGATAATTGTCTCTAAGTCAAAGATGGTTTAGGGACATAACACATAGTTATATATATATATATATATATGATGTGAATATGACAAAAATCAATCGTTTAATCATCCCAAATTGAAATTTCACCGAAATGCTTATTATTACCTAAAAATTATGTCGATCTCAAATGTAACATTAATTTCGAATTATCGAGCCTCTAAGGCTCCCAATTTCTGTTTTACACATTTAATTGTAACAAATGCTTTCTTAACCAACAAATATAAACACAAAATTTGTCATTAAACATTTCCATGCATAAAATCAAAAACTTAAACATGTCAGAAACACATGCGAGAGTCGGGTTATTACAATTTTGTACTTCTTTCAATATTGTTGCTTGTTTTTGATAAATAATCTTATGTATTGAGAATTTGAGTTATATATATATATATATATATTTGTTGTCTGAATTCTTAAATTTAATTTGAAATGTTTCTCTTTCTCAACTAGTGTTTTTACCTGTCATTTTCAGTTTTAGTCGTGTTCTAGCATAGTCTCTTGGCTATTGAACTTATATTGACCCGAGTCTAGGTGAGCAGTCTATGTTGAGGGTTCTCCAAACCTCTTTACTTCAGAGAACAACAGTTGGTATATAATAATAAAAAAATAAATCGGAAGTCATGTGATTCTAGAAAAAAAAGTAGAAAACTCAAGAACAACTCTCCTCCTCACAAAAATAATCATATCCTATGATTATTATATACCAAAATCGGGATTGTGTACTGTAAATTAAGATAAGAAATGTGCTTCTGTAATTGCACGAAATCTATTCATCGGTGTATGGTCAAACAAACTTCTGCCCACCTAAATTGGAGTGGCAAGAGAATTTGAATAACTGCCCTCACCTATAAGCAAGCATTATACTTTATAGTGACAACAAATTAAGGAGATAATTAATGCTGATAGTTCATGTACACCGACCAATACAGGCGAAGAGTAAGAAACCAAAAACAACCTGATTTTCTAACAAAAGTCGATATTAAAATCCATGGTTGATTGGGAAGGGGCTGGGGCTGGTATGCTGCACAACTTCAGCATACATGCACACGTACAGCAGCTGGACATGTTCTCTACATTACATTGCGCGTGCACACACACACAGCCAATGACATCTCCATATAGTTTCACAAATTACCTAAAAAAACATCAATTTTTCAGCATTTGCTTCTTCAAACCTCCAAGAGGACCATAACCTTTCTCTTCCGTCTCCTGTTCATTACAATTACAAGTGGTAGTGTTGAGATTTGAACCACATTTCAGGCACAAACCTTGGCACGTAGTGTTACATAGTGCATCAATGGTGATCTCTACATGCACCATGTCTCTTATGTGTTTTGAAATGTCAATTCCTTTTTCTTCAGGAGGAAAATATAGCCGATCATCCAAATCAATTGAAGCTTCATCATCTTCTTCCTCTTCACTACTTCCAGAAGTTGTGAATTTGTCTTCCCCGAAGATCACTCCCATATTTATAATGTCAGGTTCTTCAACTGGTTCTTCAGTTAATAAAAGTGAGAAGTTGGAGAAAATACACTTAGCAGTTGGCTCACCACACCTTCAACATAAAATTAAAAGAGTCAATGTGCATGAAAAAATTAAGAAAAAAATAAAATTAAGTAAATAAATAAAGTACAGAATAAATAAAATAAGTTCTTATTGAAATGAATCTCAAGAGAAGACCACGCCAATATTAGGGTGCGTGCAGTCTATCATTTGGGTCACCTAAAGAGGAACTTGCGTAACATGGATTCTTCTATTTCTCCCAAAGTACTTGTATCCATAGGGTATGACAAGGTAAGGGTGTAGGATGTGTTCCCAACACCCATACCCAATTCAGACACTCGGATCCTGTAATTTCTAACAATAGATGAAGAAGAATAAACTCACATTTGCTAGTAAAGTAATATTTTTATCCTCTCACATGAATTAGAGATACACATTTCATATTTTTCTTAAATCCAGTTTAATTTCCATTATAATTCTATACAATATACAACATCTCACTTGAGAATATTTTACAATATGCAATATATATATGCATGACAGATCTTCGTACCGATATCCAGTTTTGGATACATATCCCAATATCCTAAAATTTATGTTACAAAAGTCTGACACTAGGATACACACCCACACCCGATACTCGTACCAAGTCCATGTAACATATAGAGGAAGTGTAGAAATTTTGCATGCAAAGATCCATATTTCAGAATGGAACCTTGGTATACAAGATGGTGAGCAAACTACCCTATGTACAATTCTTTTTTGGTTTGCCATGACATACACAACATATAAATAAGGGAGATAGAACATGACATTCCAAAATTCCTATAGATATTCTATATTTGATCAATCTAATTTCTTTTACTTGTACCAATGCTTCATTCAATATGTTATCAGCCACCAATATTGTTTGGTGTAGGAAAGAATATAACAGTTGCAAACCCACTTAGGAAAATAAATTATTCACAAAGATGACAATTTTACGAGGCCCTATAAGTTTAATCCACAAAAGATCATCTAAGAAATTATTATTCGATCAATATTAAATGGTTGAACAGAATTTATACTTCAAAACAAGTTTGTAATCACACATTCTAGGCAGGAAAACATCAGATGGAGAATCAAGAAGCAAATTAGCAGATGACAAACAGATTGAAAATTAGCGGATGACACAAAGAGATTGAATGTCTGTCCAGAAAACACTAGTCCAAAAGAAAAGTCAGCCATGTTAAAAAACAACGTATATAAAAGGAACTTTTTAGTAAATAAAAAATTTTAAAGCAACGAATTTCATGGATTTTATTGACAAAAATAAAAGAAAAAAGGGATTGTAAATTTAGAGGGTCACCATGAGATTTCAGAGGGAAAAACAAGAGAACTTTCTTTAAATTATAGGTAAAAGTAGAACTATTATAATTTGCAGGGGGCAGCTGTCACCTCTAAGCCTTGTGGATCCACCACCGTATATTCGCGTATATTATAACTCTAGCCACTTGAAATTCCAAGGGATTTTTATTTTAAGGTCTCTCATATTAAGATTTTAGAAGATAAAGGACACCAAATATTGTAGTAGCAGCTAAGGTCCTCGGGAAACACGGAAGCAATTTTCAAATTCCAACGCACAGTGCTCATTCAATGTCTTTCATTTTTTGAAAAATTTTAAAACTTAAAAATTCAATAATTTTTTATTGAGATATCAATTTTCAATAAAATTTATATTTTTAGAATGCTCTTGTTGAAATCTATCAAACAAGATCTATGATGAATATGAAATTTCAAGGAAAAAAATTGATAAAATTTCACTGAGTTAGCTATCTTTAGTTAGTGAAATTTCTGAAATTTCTCTAAAAGAAAATAAGCAATTCAGAAATATCTCTGAGAAAAAATAAGCAATTTTGAAATTTTTCTGAGCAATTCTGAAATTTCTCTAAACAATTCTGAATGAAGGGCAAAAACGGAACGAAAAAAAAAGAGGATCAGCAAAGAAGACTTAAACTACCATCAAAACACTAAGGAACCTTACCTAATACAATTCTTCTCATAGTTCTTAACTTCTACATAAAAGGTGAGAGGGATTGGTGCCTAATTTTCCCAAATTCTAAAGCCCATCTCCATCATCCCCACTGTTTCATCATCACGAAAATGTTGTGTTGCGTTGTGTTGTGTCCTATGAAGCACGGGTACTCCAAAAATTGTGCCATACAAGTACCGGGTGCGGGTACGCCAAATACATGCCGGGTATGGCAAATACATTTGGGTACGTCGTGAGTACGAAAAAATGATTTTTTTTTTTTTTTTTTTTTTTGTATGGCTGGGGAAAGTATCATCTTCTTTCAATTTTGAAAATATCAAGTAATTTATTTCCAACACCCTTTACCCATGAATCATGGTTTTGCTCTCTTTTGCATTAATTTATTTCCAACACCCTTTACCCATGAATCATGGTTTTGCTCTCTTTTGCATCCTTGTGGAGAAGTGGTTTGGAAATACTCTTCTGATCCTCGAAGACGCTCGTGATCCTCAGCTAGTCACCTGAAAAGGAATAAACACTCCGGTCGAGGGTGCCGGAATTAACACTCCAACGGGCAAGTCAGTCTCTACACTCTGGTTTACTTGTATTCTAAGCTAAGCATAATGGTTCTCACATACCTTTCTCTAACTGAAGATCCTGTATTTATAGTATTCCCTTTGGGCCTTAGGGCCTAGCCCATCCCTGATCCTTTACATGTACTTCTACTCGGCCTTTGTTCTACTGGTTGGTATGCCGGCTATTTTATTCGGCTCTTCAATTGACTGGGATCAATGCCGAATAGGGGTTACGTTATGGACCGGACTGGTCCATTCTTCTCTATTGATCTAAGGAAACACAGCTCCCACAATTGCCCCGCAAACACCCCACTAGCATCAGTTAGTCGACGTGTTTGGCTTCTAGCCTAGGAAGTCAAAAATTCGGCGGTTAATCCTCTTCCCGATGCGTGTCAGAACGCGTACACGCTTTTTGGTCATTGTAACAATTTCCCACCCCTTCGTACACTGCCTCCATTTAATGCGATTTGAAATTGTCTCTTCGAATGTATGTTCTGAATACTCAAAGATATCTGACTCGCCTTCTAGTGCAACTCCTTCACTTCGCAGCTTCTGCAACTCCTTGTTTCTCGTTTTTCCCTTCGTCTCCTATAAGTTTTCTTCTCCTTCATTTTTGATCCCGCTTCCTTGTTTGCTTTTAGTCTTCCATAATCCTTGGGTTAGCCAAAATGGCAAAACATCTGAAGGAGCTCCTTTCAACGGATCGAATCTCCGGCTTTCGACGTCATTTTTCCATCCCCGATGACGTCCATCTGTCACTTTTGGCAGACAGCACCACTGATATGGAGAGGGAAAATGAGAGCACAATCGTCTTTCCTCTCCTATCAATTGTTGAGAGCGGAGTCCACTTTCCTCTTCACCCATTTTTGAGGGCCGCTCTTCGATACTGGGGTCTAATCCCTTCCCAGCCCAACGTGAATGTCTTTCGCATCATAATGGGAATTGTAGAGATAAATCGGCGTCTTAGGATTAATTTAGGTATACCCGCCATTCGACACTATTATGTTCTAGCCAAATCTACCGGCCGGCTAGGACGCTACTTTCTTAGAGCCAAGGATACTGATCATCACTTAGTGACTATGCTTGCCAGCTCTGGCAAACGTGTCGATGACGTGATGGTCGTCGTCCACGACAATTGGGAATTCGGCGAAGGTGAAGATCGCCTAGACCCTGTGCCAAGGCGAAAAGGCGATAATCCTTGGGTTGGCCAAAATGGCAAAACATCTGAAGGAGCTCCTTTCAGCGGATCGAAACTCCGACTTTCGACGCCATTTTTCCATCCTCGATGACGTCCATCTGTCACTTTTGGAAGACAACACCACTGATATAGAGAGGGATGATGAGAGCACAATCATCTTTCCTCTCCTATCAATTGCTGAGAGCGGAGTCCGCTTTCCTTTTCACCCATTTTTTAGGGCCGTTCTTCGATACTAGGGTCTAATCCCTTCCCAGCCCAACGTGAATTTCTTTCGCATCATAATGGGAATTGTAGAGATAAATCGGCATCTTAGGATTAATTTAGGTATACCCGCCATTCGGCACTGTTATGTTCTAGCCAAATCTACCGGCCGGCTAGGACGCTACTTTCTTAGAGCCAAGGATACTGATCATCACTTAGTGACTATGCTTGCCAGCTCTGGCAAGCGTGTCGATGACGTGATGGTCGTCGTCCACGACAATTGGGAATTCGACGAAGGTGAAGATCGCCTAGACCCTGTGCCAAGGCGAAAAGGCGAACCAGGTGGCCGATTAGATCACTTGTTTCTATTATTTCCATATCTGTGTTCGGCACTATACACATCTAATCGTTTTGTTTGTGCAGGCAGCGACTTGAAGAGAGTGTTAGTTTCAGACGACGACGTTGTGCTTGTAGAAATTAAGACCACGCTACAATTCGTCGGCCGTCCAAACCTTCAAAAACAAGGGACGGCGGCCCACATTCTCCTGCGGTACAAGCCAACTTATACTACATTCTCGGCGGCAGACAACATTCCGATCGCGCGAGGCGACAACCATCTTACAGCCCTCATCTTCCCCAGCTTCAAAAACTTGAGGCAGATCAATTTAGAAACATCCGATTCTGAACACTTAAAAGAACAAGCGACGGAACCAATCGCCGAGGACCCGGATCAGTTGGCAGCGGAGGTTGACGAAGCTATTAACTCGACCTTTGAAGAAGCCGGACTGAACTCGCCTGACCCTCCGTCCACATCAGGCCGAGGGGACGCCTTCGAAGATATTTTTACAAATTTAGGAGACCTTCTCGGCGATTATTCTGAGGGTATGGCTGGGGAAAGTCTCACGCAATTGGCACGAAAGAGAAATGCCGAACGCATGGCCGCCAAACGGAAAGCCGAGGCCACCCGTTCTGGACCTGCCCCGACTGAATCTTCTGAAACCATTATTGTAGAAGAAACGGCTTAAGTTCATGCGGCCGAGACAGAGAAGGATGTCGAGCATCCGATT